GCGAACACATAAGTGTTGTATGTTATGTACTCCTATTATGTGGGGGTTTTGTTGGCCTATTTTAATTCCTTTGAATATTTATTATTGTATTGTATACCTTTGAATATGTATTATTGTATTATATTATAATCTAAAATAATAATATATAATGGGTAATTCAAACAGTAATATTGAAACTTCAAGTATTGATAAAATCAATGATATTGATGTAGAACAATTAGATTTAAGTAATATTGATAAATTACAGTTGAAAGCAATTAAGCAAATGAGTGAAAGATTAGAAAAACTGGAGACAATGAAATGTGACAAATTAATATATAAATTACCAGCGTTGAATTTGTGTAGTTATAGTTTATTCTAAATTAATAATATTAAAAATTATTAATATTATTAATTATTGTTCTGGGGTTTCTTCTGTTTGTAATGATTTTAGATATGCTTGGTGTTTTCTCCTTGTTATATGTCTTGGTAGGTTATGGTTCAATAACTTTTGACCACATTCACAAACAATTTCTTCTTTCGTATTATTATACAAGTTTTTCATCATTAGCTTTACTTCTTCCTTATGTTCTTCTCTATATTTTTTACATTGTATTGAGTTGTTCTCCTTCCCTCCGTGATTATGATATTTGTCTTTCCTCGCTTCCTTAATTTCATCCTTTTTTAACCAGTATCTTTCTCTTGCATTTTCTTTTATTTTATCACTAAACTTTTCGTAATTTGCTTTGTCTCTTTCTTTGTATTTGTCAGGATTTTGTTTTCTGTCTTCCTTTTTCCATTCATTATACTTTTCTGCTTGTTCTAATCTGTCTTCATCTGTTGCTATTGGATTTATTTGATTTAAAGTCGCTTTTAGTTGTTCTTTATATGTTCTTTCTTTCATTGATGCTTCTAAACGGTTTTCACATTTCAAATTAGATATTAAAACCATTTCAAAATTAATCCATCCTCCATTTTCACGAATAAATCGATATACATATTGATTGTAGTTTTTACCGTTTTCTTTCTCAATATTATTTTTATGAGCACATTTTCGTTTAACAAAATTTGTAGTATGTCCAACATAACAGTCTTTGATACTTAAATTTTTACAAACAATTTTATAAAAATAAGTATTAAAATAGTCCATTACCTTTTTAGGCATTGTATAAGATTATATAGGATATATCTTTAAATATTATTTATCAGATATTTTCAAATATTGTGAAAAGTTTTTCATAAACATTTTATCTGGGTTCTTTTCTAAAAGGTTAATATATAAAAAACTATGCGGTTCATCAGTGGCAGTCTCATATATTTTATAAATTAGTTTCTTGCTTTCATGTAAATTATCGCTTCTAACAATTGCTGATAATTCATCTTGCAATATTTCTATCTCTTTGTAGTTTCTAACTTTATAATAAAACAAATGACTTATATTTACTCTAATAATTGGTGGCACGGTTGATGATTTTTGAAGACTGACAAGCGTTGATATTCCACTATGACGTCCCCTACAGAATAAAGAATTTAACAATTTGTTATTTCTTGTTATTGCTGGATTATCAGATACATCATCCAAAATTACCAATATATTAAATAATTTCTTCGTTCCTTGTTTTTTCTGGTATTCAATTATTTTATTTTGAGTTTCTATAACTCTTTCTATATCTTCAACATTGAACTCATCCCACCAACACGGTTCTTTATCATTATCTACTTTCAAACCTTCTTTAATGTATTTTTTAACAGGCAACCAAATGCTATCCAAATTTACAGATGGGGACCAGATAAAAATTCTTTCATAGGCTCCTCTATAAATATCAAGTATCATTGATACAAGTAGGGTGCTCTTTCCCGAGCCTGACGGCCCTGCAATCACAGCTCTCATCGGCAATTTAGGGACGACCTCGTGCTTGCTTTGCTTAAAGTCATATTTGATTTCATCAATTGGTTTTACATCAGGCATAATAAAATAATATTATAAATACTTATAAAATAAAAAATATAATATAATTATATCATAATGGCAATAGAATCTATTAATTTAAGTGAAGTAGATAGTATTCGAACTATATATAAATTTGGTGATATTTTAGTTCCAGATACTGGCCAAGTATATTATGATACGATTTTATTGTTTTTATCGATAATTAAAAAACAAAATATTATAATATCTAAATCATCAATCGAAAACGAGGATACCCTAAATTATAATAAATTAGTAAATTTGATGAAAGATTATTCCTATATATATACAAATGACATGATAAATAGTGTACAAGAAATTATTAATAATAATATTCTAGATGTTAGTATATCAACTGCAGTAAAACTTACTAAAGAAAATAGTTTAAACACATATTCTATTTAATATTAAATGGAACATCGTTTTTTCATGATATGATGACGGCAAATATCAATGAAAAAATGGAACAGGTTTTCCATTGCTTCAATCAATAAGCATTGAAGATAATTAGTTTTGTGTCTTGCTCGCGTGTGCAATGAAATCCCAAGTGCTGTGCCCCACCAATATTCTATTATGCATGAAAATAATAAGATCAAATAATTATTTTTAATAATTATTTCATCTTATTATTTAATATGGATAGAAGTTATTCAGATTATATTGGTATAATAGATGAAGTAGAGAATATAGAACAAGTGATAATAACTGACAACAGATGTAAGAAAGTATGCTTTTATACATTAGAATTAATAAAATTAGGAATACAATATATCAAAAATAAAAATGTAAATATTAATATAAATGGGAAAAAAGAAAAACAAAAAGAATAAAACAGATACTACAGTTTCTTCAACAGATGAAGAAAAAGAAGAAATTGTTAAAGAAACAGCACTAACTGAGTTTGAGTGTCCTATGTGTAGAAAGATGTTAGCAATGAAGAACGAATTAGAAATTCAAAAGAAAGGAAATTGCAAATGTTCTTGTGTGCCATTAGGGTTTAAAATAACTAAAAATGATAAGAAAATGAATATTGATAAAACCAAGGACAGTATCAATCTGGAAACAGATGCACATAATATTTCTATCAAATTTGGAAATGAGGCAACAATGTCAGATAATGGAGATAACGAAACTCAGGAAACTATTAAACAAATGATGAAAATTTAGTACTTAAAGAGTAGATTTTACATTAAATCAATTTTATAAATAAATATTTAAATAAATAATTATATAAATAAATATATATAGAAATGTCTGAAATTGAGAATGATGCTATTGCTGAACTATCAAAGAAGATGATGACAGTTAGTAAAAATGTTAAACTGTTGCACGAGATGATAAAAACTATTGACCAGAAACTTGATGCAAAGGCAAACGAACCAAAAAATAGCAATGAAGAGAAGGAAAAGATTGATAAAATATTTGAAAAGAAACAAATAGGAAGGCCGTCTGGCAGTTTTCAAGATAAGCAAAAGCAATATATGGATATGTTAAATAAGAACAAAATTAAATCTCCAAAAACAGAAACTATTGAATTTTATAAACTGTTTAAGAACGAAGAAGGAAAATACGAATTAATATAATAAATATCTAAATAATTCTAATAATATGAATTTATTAGAATTATTTTCAGGCACAGGTTCAGTTGGAACGACTGCCATCAAAAACTAAAGCAGAATGTGGGGATAATTATGTAATACATAAGCAGGAAGATTTATACAAAATACCTGCTGAATTGATTTGTGAGATTTTGATGAGTTTGACGGACTAAGGAGTTTGAGTTGGGGTTTGACAATGGTCCCCCAAAACTGGGGAAGGGTCTCCCAAAACTTGGGAAGGGTCTCCCAAAACTGGGGAAGGGTCTCCCAAAACTTGGGAAGGGTCTCCCAAAAATGGGGAAGGGTCTCCCAAAAAATGAAAACTTGGGAAGGGTCTCCCAAAAATGGGGAAGGGTCTCCCAAAAATGGGGAAGGGTCTCCCAAAAAATGAAAACTTGGGAAGGGTCTCCCAAAAATGGGGAAGGGTCTCCCAAAAATGGGGAATGGTCTCCCAAAAATGGGGAATGGTCTCCCAGAAACTTGGGAAGGAGGAACAAATGTTCATTTATGATTAAATTTAACCCATAAACCTTACAATAAAAAACAATGTAAGATTTATGTTTTGAAATTATGGGGATTTTGGGATTTGGGATTTTGGGAATTTAGTTTCAAGGAATATTGATTATAGGAATTTCTTAAAATGTATTTAAAGGTTTAAGGACATTGTGTTATAAGAACTATGGAAGGAAACATTTGTGTTTTAATTAAAGGTAAAATGTATGAAGGAATTTTGGAAAACGGTTCATTCAAAACTGATAATGGAAAATTTATGTAGAAACTGTGGTAGAATGAAACTATTTGACGAATTTAATCAAGATAATAAACAATGCAGGCAATGTTCAGAAAACAAAAGGAATAACCGAATTAAACATAAAGATAGATACAATGAGGAGCAAAGAAAAAGATATGAAGAAGATGATGAATATAGAAATAAATCACTTGAAAGTAATAGAAAATGGAACAGTATAAAAATTCAGTGTGTTATTTGTGACTGCTATTTTTCTCAATGTTTAAAAAAGCAACATCTTAAAACAAATAAGCATAACATAAATTTAGAAATGAAACAGGCAGAAGAAAATTAACATTATTTTTATTAATAAATATTTTACATAAAATTGTATAAGGTTAATATGTAGAATAACTTCTTAACCTTATATAATATTTCAATGAAGTAAAATTATTTTCAAGGAATTAGATAAGGTTAATGAATATGAATAATGTATTAACCTTATTTAAAATTTGAATTATAAACCTATATTTTATATTTTGGTAAGTTGTTCTGAAAATTATTTTACTTCTTTCAAGATATGTTCTTGTATTTTTTCCCCCACCCCCACCCCCACCAACACCCACCCACCCCCCCACCCACCCACCCACCCACCAAACCACCCACCCGTGCCTGCGTTTGCGCGTGTGCCAGCGTTTTGCAGCGGGCTGCTCCCTCGCTCTTTGAGGCTCTCAGAGGCACTGCAGCACGTGGCGGACGACGGGGAGGTGGGCCTGGATCACTTGGCCGAGGCGGGATGGTGCAGGCGGCATCTAAGTCTGAGCATATGGCTACGTCAACTTGGAGTTGGGTGGAGCCAAAGATCAAAACGCGCGCTCAGGTGGTGTGCAAGGGCAAGGTTCCCGTCATGTCGGAGGAGGAGCTTGAGGAGTTGCCGGGCGCTGAGAACTTGAGACTGGATATCTCTGGATGGCACATCGGGAACACACCAAATACTCCCCTCAACACGGAACCCAAACAAGCTTCACTTTTGTTGGCGGAAACCGCTGTTGCGGGACACATTTTGAGTTCCGTGTTTGCAAGGGAGTGGAGGTGTGAAAAGGAAAGCGTCACCCACCCTTTTGTCATAGATTTCTACATGGGTCCCCCCAAATCCAACCCCCCAAATCCCCATATTTATATAAGCACAAAATAGTGGGAGGAGTCAGAGGCACGCTTCAGGATTCTGATTGTCAGACATGCGCGCAATGCTGTCGCCGCTCTCTTGTGCTTGGTTTGGGGTTCAAGCCGAGTTTTTTTGCAAATTTGCTTATTTTGTGCTTATTAAAGCTTATTAAAGCTTATTAAAGTTTATTAAAGTTTATTTAAGCTTATTTTGTGCTTAATTTGTGCTTATTTTGCTGTTATTTTCTTATGGTGCCCTTATTTTGCCCTTATGTTGCCCTTATTTTGTGCTTATTTTCTTATGTTGCCCTTATTTTGCCCTTATGTTGCTCTTATTTTGCCCTTATTAAAGTTTAATAACTGTTGCAAAAATAACAAGGAGATAAGCTTAAATAATCTTTAATAAACTTTAATAACCTTTAATAACCTTTAATAACCTTTAATAAACTTTAATAAGGGAAAAATAGGAAGAACCTGTATAACCCCCTGAATCCCATGAAAATTGTGCATTTGGGGGGTGAAACTGGTGGGACCCCTTTAAAAATCTATGATTTTGGAGCCTTATTGTGTTGGTGACAATGTTGAGAGCTGCATCAAACCCCGATGGTCATGCAGATTCATTGGCACAACCCCCAGGTGTTTCAGACCTTTGTGAATCCAGGCTGGCAGGATCATACACCTCACCAACAAGTGAGCAATGCGAATGGACAACATGGTCACAGGATATTGTGTTAGGGTGGAAAGGTTCAAACGGGATTTCCCGTTTGACAGCCGGCCGTTGTTGTTTCCTCCTTTTCCGACAAGCGCGTGTCTTGACCTGGCAAAGAATAGTTTCGGCCCAAGGAACTGAGCGAGGACGCCTTACGAAGGCCGAACTCTCCATTTTGAATATGCCTCTCCTCCAAAGTCCCTTTTGCTTCCAGCACGTCAACATGTATCTTGGTTTGCCTCAGCGCTTCGATTCCACCGGATGAAGGCTCGAATCCCAAATGTCAAATTGTGTTCGTGCAGAGATGTTCATGCCGATTCCGCATCATGCCTGCATTCATTCGATCTAGTTGCACAGTGGTGTGGTTCGCGGTTACGCTTCCAGAAGGCTTACTTACTATTGTTGCTGCCGCCGCTCCCACTAGTCCTGCCATGGCCTTGAGCGCTCCTGACCGCTACTGCTTGACAGACACAAACATACACCTCAGCTGGCAACTTCGACCATTTGTGGCGGGTGCTTCGACAAGCCTCGCATTTCTCATGTGGCTGGGTCAAAACCCTGTACCCCTGGTGAACATCAACATTTTTCTGGTACATGGGCGTTCATCCGCCCCAGAATGGGATCGCCATAGGTTGTGACCCATGTCTCATGTGTTGGCCCCCAAGCCGTGCCAGTCGTGGGGCCCCAAGGTTGGGGACCCTGGGCGTCTTCGAGGAGGAGTTGGATTGCCAGCAGTTGGCGCAGAGCATCTTGCAGTGTGCAGGAAGCCCGGACTGGATCTGTGCCTCTGGGAGTGGGTCATGGGCCCTTGGCTTCCTTTGCGAGTTGTTTTTTTCTTGTTGTGCTTTCTTCTCTATTTGGTTTTTGTAGCTTGTTTAAATGGTGGGAAGGTTAAAAATCTGACAAACACGTGGCAGGCACAGTGCTCAGCAGTTGACAGTCGGAGACTTCGATTCTATGGCCATAAGACCAACTTGCTCCAGCCTTGCGCTGGGTGTTCCTTTCCTTCGTTACACTTATAATCATACCATAGCATACCTTGGCAAAGCTTTTGAGAGCCGCAATCCGATCACCGAACCCAGAGAGATGCCTAGTACAACTAGACCAAGAGACAAGGCAACAACATCTTGACATTGAGCTGTTCAAGACGCAGCCTTCGCCCTTGATTGGTGCTTCAATCGGCACAGACGTAAATGACAATATGCTGCACAGCGACTAAAGCCGTTGAGCTGGTTGAAGAATGGTTCCCAAGAGCCGAGTCATGGAAGATTTAATGATCACTTGGACTTCTCCTTCAAGGTCTTCTTCTGCGAAGATGTCTGTGTAAGATGATGCATGTAGTGCTGGTTTTGCAACTTGTTCCACTAGCTGAGAGCCAATCTATGCCAAAGCATGGATCACGAGGCAACTGGGCACTTTGCCAGCGATGCAGGGGTGGCAAATCCCACATGTAGTTCTCAAATTGCTTTCTGTCTAGATATTCACGCCCCTGCAATTGGGAGCGGGCTGCACCTACATACAGCAACAACGCATACATACACATATGCACACAATTATAGGTGGGTTCAACCAGGACTCGCCGTCAAGCAAGAGCCTCTTGTAAATGCTGAAACCATCTCAGCTCAGTGGCACCACACCTTTGCTCTGGTCCATGTTGCTTGAAGGTGAGGATGCACAAGTGAATCGCGGGCGAAACTCGCAAACTACCGCGTCATGCAACCTGCGTCTCTTCCAGTCCCAAGCAGATGCCTCAGGTGTGCGACCCTCCTTCTCGAGAGAGGCCAGCAAAGCGAGACAAGCGCCGAGAAAAAGGAGCAGATCTGTGCCCGCAACATATTCGGGAGCTTGAACTGGAGGATGTACCACAAATGTGTTGGCCTCATGAAGCTGTTTATACTTGCGTGCCCCACGGGCCTTTGTGTCTCAAGGAGTGTCGGCTCAAAGGCAGGTCTGGATTTGATTTTGTCAGCATTTGAATAGTGAGGCCAGCAACTCTCCGTGCAGCAAGTGCCAAGCAGCACAACTATGCTTCTTTGCCTGCAAGATGTTTGATCTCCAGTGCATACAAAGACTCACATACACAGTAGAAAGCCCAGAGCAAGAGCGTCGCCAGCTACACTGCAGCTTGGGCGCAGTCGTCGCACCAAGCTGCTTTCTGTTGGCAAGCAGGCGGGGTCAGATGGTGGAATCCAACCCTTCAGTTGGACAGCTCAAAGGGCTGACAGGAGTTGCTGAGATGCAGCACCTACTTTTCGGGGTCTCAGACGTCAGTGCACAATTGCGCTCACCATTGCCCTCAACGGTGAATAGCATTTCTCCATGTCAAGGCACACGAATGTTGTTCTTGAAGGGTTTCTTGCAGGGCCAATGTCAGGCAACAGTATTGCAGCAGAGAATGATTGAATGGAGCGCTTTCTATTGGCAGGCACAGATCTGTCAGCACGTGGTTGGACAATTGTTGATAATTACAAACACTTTGCGTTGCCCACATCGGCCCAGCCGAGCATGCAGCGTTTGTGGCTCGAAAGCAAGCAACAGAGCTGGAGTGGCGATTCATAGGTGTGAGTCATGGAGCCAAGTGAAGCCAAGTGACGCAGTGGCGCTGCGAGAAGCTAGGACAGATTCTGGCGTCGGACATGTTGGGGAATCATGTCTGCGCCCTGCCGGCCCAGCCTGCTGGCGATGGAACAAAGTGGACTGAATTGCTTGACACTGCACGGCTTGACTGGGCTTGACTGGGCTTGACTGGGCTGGACTTGGGCTAGTGGAAGTTGTCGGGCCAAGCTGGGGCTTGGAGCTGGCTGCTTTATTTTGCATCACCTGCTGGTGGCCTGTCCCCCAGCCCACAGCGTCATGTCCAGTGAGCTCCAGTGACAGCTCAAGTGAGTCCCAGCAAGTCCACAGCCCTAGCTTGGGCTGGGGGACATGGAGTGAGGTTGGAGAAGGAGATCTGAGTTGGCCTCCGGCCGAGGCGATGTGTTGTTTTCGTGCTTGTGGGCCGGTAGTATTGAAGCACCGGACAGTTAGGTTCTTTCTGTTCTTTTTTTTCCCTGGTGGTCCTATGTGACTGGCAGGCCCATGAGCAAGGTCAAGGCAGGACTGTGGGACAGGCTGCGAGCTCGCAGGGCAATCAACACAAGTTCAACTGGCGGTTTGGGTTGGCTTGGTCAGATCGATTTGAATCCCCGGTTCTTGTGGCGGGTTGGGAAGCCACCCCGAAGCAAACCGATCTAAACTGACGAGAGGAAAGCGAAAAGTTGGTTGCCAGGAAGGCACTGAACATGTTGCTACAGCGAGGGGCAATCCGAAAGATAGCCTTTGGCCGTTCGGAACACGAGTTGGCTCCGGACTTGTGCTGGGAAGGTGAACTGTTTATCGTTGCTGGGCAAGAGAGAGAGAGAGAGATGGCACAGAAAGGCAACATGTTGCTGTTGCAGCTTTTCTTTTTTTGTTTGAGCCAAGGATTGGCGTAGATGCCCTAAGATATATGGTGTGACCTTGCGGCCGGGACATTTGAACAACCTAAGTCAATTGTCAGTTTGGGCAGAACATAAGGGGGACACCCAAATTAGTCCGCCGAAAAGACAAGGGCCGCCCAGATTTCTTATGTCTTGTTGGGGAACAAGGAGTATTGCGCATGGCTTTTTTTGAAACTTGTGAGTCAAAGAAACTGGTTGCTTGCAGCGATTGGTGGGATGGCGGCTTACGTGAAATAAGATGCCTTATGATATGTCGTTGGCCATTCAACCTCAACACTTGCCCGTGTTTACCCTTGCTGCTTTTGCTTTGGAAGCTGTGTGAAGTGTCCATCACACCTTGCAATCTCCAGTTGTACGACACATTGAATGAAAGCAAGGGGTCAGGAAGTGTTGCGTCAAGGCGTTCGATAGACATGGTGCTTCGTTGTTGCCCTGGTAATGCGATTGCTGCATCCAATCATCATCCTTTCGATTGCTCGTGGATGATCCTGCTACAAAAGAAGACGAAATGTCAAGCAGTGGCCTTCCACAAAGAGCCCGCCACAGTCGAATCTCCAGCTTCCTTGCATCAGTGTATCGTCCAACTTTTTTGGATTCTCCAATCCTGTCAACAACCTGCAGGCTGTTCCAGCCTCTAGGTCAACAGCCGGCCTTTTGACCCTGGCAGAGCATTGGGAAACCTTGGCCGGGCGGCAGCGTGGATCACCTTAGTGCGTGTTCTCCACGGCTTTTCCTTGCAGGTAATGCGGACCATGTGGCCTCTCACCCAAAGCAGGTCCTTGCCATCCGCCAAAACCAAGTGCATAATATGGCCATGGTTCAAAACCAATGGTACCATTTTGGGATAGGTGCACACCCATTTTAGTCTATTTTAGTGGGGTCATTGGATTGGGGGTACGGGGGTTTGACCCATGGCCATATATGTTTGCGCTAGATGTTCGGAGGAGCTAGGCGTGCGGTTTGTGCACCCGGCTGTGAGTTTGTGAGACCTAGGGATGCAGCCTAAACTGCCTAAAGCTTGAAGCAGACGGTGGGCTCCAGAGGAAACTTCTGAACTGCTGGCCATGCCAAGTGATCAGTCACGGCACAAGTCGCTGCAACCCGTCGTGGAACCCATCCTACCAAGTGAGTGGCTCGGGTCAGTTTCGACCCTGGGAATTGAGAGGCTCTCAGCCTGGCAAGGCTCAAGCTGCTGCTGTTGTGACATGATCTAGCACTCTCCGCAACAGAGGCGTTCATGAGATGCTGGTAGGTCGACAAGCCTCAGATCCACGCATTCCAAACTCAGTTCTACAGTCGGATGAGCATTTAGGGTGGCTTAACAAAACCTCGTCATTCACAAGCCGCGTCGTTTCTAGGGCCCCACCTTCCGTTGAGTGATCACAGGCAAGTTTTAGATCTTGGCCCCCGGCATGCGAACCGGCAAGCTGTGTGCCCTGCCGATCAACACTTCGTGATATGCTTGACTTTCATGGAAAGCAATGGAACCTTCCCAGTTGGTGACCAAGCCTTAGGGCAACATAGTGCTAGATCATACGCGCCTCTAATGAACATGGCTTCTCATAGCCTGCTGGTAGAGTCTTCCCAAGAATCAAACTAGCAGTCAAGGGCAACCACTGTGCTGCTTCACCGCCAGATAAACTCGCTGTCTACCTGCCGGTCGGCGCCACAGTTTAGCATCAAGTCTCGCTATGAGGCGCGACTCGGTTGGGGAGGACAGTGGCAGGGAGTCTTTACAAAACCGTGTTTTAGCAGGGCTTGAGGTGTTGAATGAGGCCATTGAGTGCTGTAAGCGCCTCACTCGCGACTGGTCGGTGCTTGGCGTCGGGAGAGCCTTGCGGTTGTTTCGCACTACGGCTGTCAGGGCGGCATAATTGCTGCAACTGAAACATTGCTGAGTAAAGGGCTGAAGAATCAAACAAAGCAGGGGGGTGGAATTGCCCTCATGTATCCATAGGTGTGTGTGTGTGTGTAGTGTGCATTTTTTAACCGAAGGTGCTGTTGTTTGACCGGCAGGAGAGCTCCATTCTGCCACTTTTGGTCAACCATCCTAGACCTGTTTGCTACATACTGCGCGGGTTCGGACACTGTGCTCTTGGACAAGTGAGACCCCCACAATCAAGAGGCAGTGATCTTGGAGAGACATAGTGTGACGCAAAGCGTTCTGCAAGCTTACATGGGTGTTTCCAGAACTGCAAACGTAAAATTGCTTGGTGTCCTTTCGGGTTTGGTTTGCATCGAACAATGGATCCATTCCAATTCCCATTTGGCTGTCCAGATTTGTCAGGTGAAGGACAAGGATGAGGCTGCTCCCGGTCCGGGGAAGCCGGGGGCCGAATGACGGCGCAGAGGCAACCGGTTGATACTGTTTTAACGGGTCCCGGACCCTGTGACCCTGTGGACACCATTTAGGTGGGCATTTAAAAGCAGCATCTGCGTCCAACCAGTGCCGAGGAGT